AAMMAAAAAACATCTWTAAAAGAAGAAAAAACCTCTGGAATTACTAGGTAGACGATTAGGTATATTATGTATAGATATATTAGGTCCATCGAAAGTCGACTCGATGGATTTACCATTTTTTAGCTATGGYGCTCCGCTATCAACGTAGTTAATAAATGTACATCAAATATCAAAATGAAAACTGCATGCAGGAGTATTGTTCATCGTGCAAGCAGCCTATACACTACATGTATACACACAATGACATATCTACGCTACAAGGGACTGCGCAATAATTATCAGGAGTGGGTTTGAACAGYAGAAAAGTTAGTGATTTCCCGACCCCACAACCCTCCTCCCTTTATACATGGAAAATGCTTAGATGGCTTTGGGCACAACGTGATCCACTGCAGCGAATCTKGGCCGACATGACTGAGCCAGCTGAGGGTTCAACWWAATSTCGTACTSTGGTATTCTTGTGTTGCAGAYGACATCRCAATTTTACCCGCATTAAGACATGACATTCATATCTGTTTAGAGCATAACTACACAGTTTGAMAAAAATTTTGGATTGTAGAGCTCTTGTTTGCGGAATTATTGGCAATCGAAGATACGCAAAATTTGGTAAAAATGCATATTGGCGGAAATYTAGACAGTGGTCAACCTGACCCGCCATCGTCTTGATTCCAACGTTTACAAAACAACAGAAATTTGTCTTTTTTTAAAGAAATTAAAGTCTAAAATTAAAGTTATGTTAAGATGTTACCCCCTCTCCCTCATTGATTAACTTTTCTGCCCTCTTTCAATCCCCCCTCTTCCACCCCCTCACAGACACACTCTCCTGATACTCAGTACGCATCCCCTAATTTTAAAACTTGTTTTCAGAATTCATAATTAATTTTCTTTTAATCTCAAATATTAGCGAAATCTACAAAACAGTTAAARCATTAGTAAACAAGCAGCTTAAAGAAAGCAATTGAGACAACACAACTTTCGCCTACAACCATAGCATACAGCCTGTGCAAGTCATCCTTATAACATAGCTACAACTGTTGTAAAGGATTAAAAACAAATGCTTTTAAGATATTAATAACCCTACGAAAGTTGTAATCGTATAAGGAGTAAGGATGACTTGAAATGAAGGTTCGCATGCGATGGTCGTAGGCAAAAGTGGTGCCGTCTAATTGGGTTTTGAATAAGACTTTGATGCAATCAGAGCTAGTAGACGTACGTCGAAAACTCTGATACAATGGCGATCTATTTCTGCTGAGGACTTTTGGTCAAGGAGACTAAGCGTCTTGTGTTGTACAAAGATCGTTTGTTATGGCGTACTGTGCAGAAGCCGATCGCGACTTGCCTGAAAATTAAAAAAAAAGAATGGATGTCGATCGAATACTGATTACACACACCGTACAGGAGAAGACTGGTAGTACAGACCCATGATATCAAATCCACTATTTACCTCAACACGAAGCACTCGAGTTTCWGAATCTGATATCCCAAGGGAGGGCTCTTGAGATGGATTCTTGCACAGACTGGGAGCCACGTTCTTCACTGTGACAGTGAGAGATACTTTACCAACTTTAGTCGGTTTGATYACGTGATTTACGATATTAGCCTCGTCACAACAAATACAGAGCCTTTGATTATTTGTCGAAATCAGTTGGAAATCGCTTGTTGGCTTCAACTGTATAACAACCTTAAGTGGAATAAATAAACAGTTATGGTCTAATGATATCTGATATGCAGATGATATTCTCCCAAACTCAGGTGCTTTCCATTCTTTTGGTAGTTTTCCCATTCCAATTTTTCTTTCAGCGCTCAAAAACATTGTTGCATGCATTTGACATCATACAAAATGCACGAGCGGTAACAAACTTTTCAGTCACGCGTCTGTGTTGTCATGATTTTAAAATACTCACTGTTGCACATGTCTTCATGTAGCTAAACACTCTTGTCACAATGCTGACTTTTTCGTCGCGAACTACTGCATAAGGTGCCGTAACCGATACGAAGAAAGGTCGAGAGACGGAGAGAGAAGAAGGTTCGGCCACGCCCATGCCATGTGTCGACGACATTGCAAAAGCACTGAGATGCCACGAGGTGATTGAATCWGGGACTCGAGCTGTGATTATCCTTTCACCGTTTGATTTACTGGTAAATACCAAACAATATAAGTTGTTWACGTTTGTTGACTGATTCGTCAAATAACCCAATATTCCAGAGTACGAATCTGACAAAACACTTTAAGACAGAAAACTTCACACAAGCAAATTTTGATCTAAGCTCTCTGAGGGCCATTACTATTTGGCCATCATGACAAAGGAAGCTCAATCTTTTTGATTTCTACAGTTATTATTATTATCTATAACACCAATTCCCACCTTACAGTTYCCTCTGTCCACAGCCATGTTTCAGGTGCTTGGTCCTGTTGATGGTTGGATGTTTTCAAGGGATTTTGCAATCCTGCAGGTTGATGATTTCCTGTAGCTTGTCGTCGAAATCGTCTCCCCCACCTACTCCATATATTCGAAATCCCCTTGTCCACCACCGACCCCCCTGTAATGAGGTATGGTTCATCATATATTAATAAGCTGTACAATTTGTTAGCTTAGAGGTTTCTAGACACTTACCAGAAACAGCGAAAGTCGGTGAATCAGACAAATACACAAAACCAGCATCCTGAAAATAATAATAAGTTTAATTATTTTAGAAATCTACTAGGTCTACAGGAAATACCAACGTTCGAGAAGAATCACAGGTGGTACTAGCTCACTTTCATCAAATACCAGCGGTATTTTCATTAACATTCTTCTAGAACAAAGACGTAGTTTCCATAGAATATCATACCTGCATGAATAATATTCGATTCTATACACATATAGGGTCAACACATCATTCGCAAAGATTTCTGGGATTGATTYGTGTAGCTCACGTCGTATTAATTGATTGTACGATTAAAAAAACGTTTCACGCTTCGTCAGCCAATCAGAATCGACAATGAGAATTAACTACCCTGCATTGTTTAACAGCGTTTCGCTGGAAATAAAAGRCATCATGTATGGACAATTTTTGCCCCGTTGCACTCTGCAATTTATGCTCCAAACAYTTGAAAGATATCCTGTCGTCCAGTTCCATCTTCAATGTCTCATTCAAACACAGTATCTCTCTAACAATAGTCCAACACCATGTTGCTTTTTATTTAGCAGTGTTGAACGGATTTTATTCTTACATAAAAAGTGTTGGATGCCTCCTTAATTTTTGTGTCCAATCTCAACGACTTCCTGGCCGGGCCAACGTCCAGTGTCTCACGAAAGCCAAACACCTTAAAAATAAATGTATTTGCTGTTGATAGATTTCAAACATCAAAAATAGGCATGCGATAATATTTGTGACAGTTCACTTACTGAAGCAGAAAAAAATCAATTCAAGCCAGGTTTACCTTGTCTACAGTGATATCCTCAGTTTCTTGTCTTAATTTATCAATAGCACTCAACACCACCGTGGATCCTGGGGCGGCTTTTAATGTGATTTGAACCCTTTCTCCTGGTTCACGATGTTTGTTGTTAAA